GGCATTATAGAATGCAATCTGGGAGAGAACAAGAAAATGTGGGAATGGGTGAAAGCTTCTGCCATATGGTGTCAATTATTCCTTCAACAAATTAGCAAGATCACAGACAAAAAGAGAGCAGGAGGAGGGAGAGAAGTGGCATAAGGGTGGCTTATTTCTAGACAATGAATGCTTCCAAGGAATCCGTGCAACTTTCTATTTATTTTCACTTAACAATTATAATACTAATTCAAACAGTAAAGACTCCTTGTCAGATGTTTAGCACTGTATTTTATTAAAACAGCATGCGCTGCCCAAATATGATACTACCAGCACAATCAAGCAATAAAAGCATGACAGGAAAATTAACATTAATAGTGCCAGTATGAAACAAAAAATGAGACAAGTTCTTGCCATAAACTACATCAATCAATCGTGTAATGGCATCCCAAAGAGTTCTCCTGGCTGGCAGTTCAGGAAGCAACCAAGCAAAGAAACTAAAGCTGTAGTCTGAGTAGGTTCGTAATGCTGCTTTTTGATACCATTTATATTCTTTTTGTGCATGGCACAAGTCTACATGTGCAAATATTGTACTGGTAACAGTGTTTCTGGAAGAAGGTGGTATGCCAATCTTCCTTCCTGCCTGCCTGCCTGCCTGCCTGCCTGCCTGCCTGCCTTCCCATTTCCTCCCCTGCAGAATTCCCCAAGTAGTTTTGCTTTAGAATGAACACACAGATAATTTATGCAAATATGATGTTCAAGAAAGTATGCACCATCCAGCATATATTTCCATAGAAAATCACAATACTCAAAATTATGTGTGACTATAGTATATGCTGATACCCAGTATGATGTGGTTGACTCAGGTGGCCTGGGTTTGAATCCCTGCTCAGCCATGGAAGCTCAATGGGGCTGTGGAACTGGTAAAACCACTCCTTAATTATCTTATTTACTTTGAAAGCCCTATTAGGATTGCTACATGTTGATTGTGACTTGATGGCCCAACAAGAATAGTATATGTAACCTGGAAGTAACTCTTTGCTTAGTTGCAATAATTTACTTGGAAGTAATTATCCACTTTTTTTCCAAATAGCAAGGCTCTTATCCTGTTTCTTTTCTGAAACAGCACCACTAGTAAGTATTTATTTACCAGTTTTGTGTAACAAGTAACATTTACTCGTCACTCCAAAAGGCTATTGAGGAATAGCTTTCCCTCATTTTGGTCCATTTAATTTTTAAAATTCTTTTTAAAAAGGCTACTAACAGATTACTAATAGAACATTCACCAAGTTGTATGTAACTTTTTTGTGTTTACTTTACTTTACTTTATTTAGATTTATACCCCGCCCCTCTAGACAAAGTCTTCTACTGCTAAACTTTTAAAATAACTTTCCAAGCTCTGCAACTTGAATAATAGATTTTTCATCATGTTATTTTTAGAGGAAGGCTATCTATGACATTTCATTTACTCTATAACCTACATTTGAACTCAGATGCAAGTTCAAACATGTTTATGAGTCATCTGGCCTTTCTCACAAGATGACTCATAAACATGTTCAAACCCACCCATAAGCTCGAACATTGTGTAGGCATCCTTCAGTCTCGGAAGACTATGGTAACGTGCTCTGAACAGAGGTCTTGGAACAGCGTCTAGTGTAGCTGAGAAGGCCAATACAAGAGTGACAATCCCTTCCACACTGAAGACAAATACTATCTGTCTCCCATCCAGCTCCCTGATTTTTCTGGTTTCGGGACTGTCTCTTTGCCTCAGCCTGTTGGACAAGTGTCTCTTCAAATTGGGAGAGGTCATGATGCACCACTTGCCTCCACGCTGAACACTCAGATGTCAAGGTTCCCCATCTGTTGAGGTCCATTCCTAAGGCCAGATCCTGCTTGCAGATATCCTTGTATTGCGGCTTTGGTCTCCCTCTGGGGTGATTTCCCTACACTAATTCTCCATATAGGAGATCTTTTGGTATCCGACCATCAGCCATTCTCACAACATGCCCAAGCCAATGTAGACATCACTGTTTCAGTAATGTATACACGGTAAAAATTCCAGCTCATTCTTGGACTATTCTATTTGGAACTTTGTCCTACCAGTTGATATGAAAGATGCATCGGAGACAATGCATATGGAAAGTGTTCAAATTCTGCCATGCACAAATGGTCCAGAACTCACCAGGAGTGTACTCAGGACACAGGCTCTGTAGACCTGGATCTTTGTATACACCGTCAGCTTCTTATTAAGCCACACTCTCTTTGTGTCTAGAGAACATGGTAGCTGCTTTGCTAATGTGTTTATCCAGCTCGACAGCTAGAGAGAGGGTGTCAGAGATCGTTGAGCCAAGATACATGAAATTGTGAACAAACTCAAATTTTTGTGTGGAGATGGTAATAGAGGGAGATGAGTCCATACCCTGACCCATGACTTCTGTTTTCTTCACACTGGTTGTTAGTCCAAAATCTTGGCAGGCCTTTTTAAAACAATTCATGAGTTGTTGGAGGTCTTCAGCAGAGTGGGCAACAACAGTTGCATCATTGGCGAAGACGAAGTCCCACATACATTTCAGCTGGACTTTGGTCTCTTTGCTCTCAATCTACAGAGATTCAAGAGCTTTCCATCTGATCTAGTCCAGAGATAGACACCTTCTGTTTCAGTTCCAAAGGTGTGCTTCAGCATGACAGCAAAAAAGATCCCAAACAGAGTTGGCGTGAGGACACAGCCCTGTTTCACTCCATTTTGGATGTAAAAGGGATCCGATGTTGAGCCATCAAAAACTACAGTGCCTTTCATTCCCTCATGAAAGGCCCTGATGATGTTAAGGAGTTCAGGTGGCCATCCAATCTTGGGAACGATTTTAAAAAGGCCATCCCTGCTAACCAAATGAAAGGCCTTTGTAAGATCTATGAAGGCCACAAAGAATGGCTGTTGTTGTTCCCTACATTTCTCCTGCCATTGTCGGAGGGAAAATACTATGTCAATGGTGGATCTATTAGCTCAAAATCCATACTGTGATTCTGGATAGACTCTGTCTGCAAGTACTCTTCAGCCCAACATGGGTACGCAGCTTCCCTGCAACGCTGAGAAGAGATATGCCACGATAGTTATTTCAGTCACCCCTGTTGCCTTTGTTCTTGTGCAATGTTACAACGTTTGCCTCCTTTATGTCCTGTGGTACTTCACCTTCCCTCCATTAACTACGGTTCAAAGTTGAGAGAAAACTTCCACAGACTTGTAGAGTGGAACTGATTTGGAGTGCTACCTAACATAACTTACAAGTTAAAAAACAGCAGCCATTCACTTCACTGTCTGTACCAGTATCCTGGTGAGTCTCCATTGAGCAGAAAGCCTACCATTTGAATATTATGGGACAGTACTGCTTGCTCACAACACAAACAGAAGTTGTGTTTTCTTCACAGAGCTCACCGCTTGAAACCAGCAATGTTTTCACAAGCAGCACAGCCTTGCATTACTATGCTGGTGGAACTTCCTACTCCTCAGAAGCTCAGCAGGGCACTGCCCTGTGTGTTTAACATCATATCTACTTCAATCCTGAACTGCTGAGCAAGCCATTCTTTGATCTTCTCGAACCTTCCATTTTCCCTTTTTTTTTCTTCAACTAACACTCTACAATTCTCTGTCTCAAATGCTCTTAATCACACACTACCTGACTCAAACTGTCAAATTTTGCAGTCCTTTATATTACTTTTCTCATCCCTATGCAGAAGTGAGAATTCCCCACAGGAAATAATTGAGAAATAATTGTCTCTCACAAAAAAAGAAAAGAAAAAAAAGGCAACCAAATCAGTAGTTTCATTTTTTGATGTTCAGTAAGAACCTGAAAGTTCTTTATGCAAATCCTATAAAGACAAGAATGAAACAGCCAGGTCTGTATACAAGGCTAAAACATACTTCATTCATCAAACTCTCACTTTAGTTAAACCATGTCTTAATCATTGCTTCAGTCAGTTTATGATATTAACATCTATTGTGTTTATTCATACTAAGAAATAATATATCAGTTTTGCAATCTGATGACCGCCCAATTACAATATTATTTATAATATATTAAATACTGTCTCAAAATTTCTTACCTATATAACACAGATGCTGTAACTTTTGGAGAAAATTACCAAAGCTAAGAAATCACTGTAGACATTAACTGTTGCATATTGAGCTATGTGGTTCAGCAAGCAACTGATGTTGTCTATGGTGATTTATTAACTCGGGCAAGTTTGCCTCCAAAGGTTTTGCCATTCTCAAGCTACACAAGAAGATTTTGACCACTGTGCATGAAATTTTAATCTTGGATCAATTTTTCTAATTCTTCATTTGCTTAGGTTTCTCTCCAGAACTGTCCGACATGGGAATCCAACCATATTCTCATTCATGACAACAGTGATCTTGACAGTCAGTACTGAAATACATGGGTCAAAATTCTGTGTGTGATTTATATCTATTGAAGCATATTTAGAACATTAACAAGAGTGCATGAAAATCACTGCTCACTCGTACAATGGAAGAGGATTTCAGTGATGAATGCCAATAATTGTTACAGAAGGGATCTCCATCTCTATCCAAAGTAGCAAACACTTGCAAACTTTTTGATTTGTTTGGATTTCAAGCCTACAGTGCAGCTGAGCCTCAAACAAAAAGTTCGCCAGCCTCCAGGTTAAGAAAAATACTGTAAACCACATCATTTTCCCCTCTCCAACAATGTGTGTAAGAGCTCTTATGCAAAAAAATTATAGCCTCATCTCTTGCTTTTCAACTAAAAGTTACTGAATGTCCACTTAAATAATTTGAAAAGCAAAAATGTACGGCTTCATATTACATCTTCGTACAGCCAATGAGCATGCACTAACAAGATATGAAAAGTCACAAGTGGTTGCTATTGCCCTCAAATTAAGACTCATAATTCTCAACAGCTTGATCTTTTACTCAGAAGCAGAGCTGTGGTTTCATACACTGATTAAATGAAATTGACTTTCAAAATTATATGAAACATGATACCCACCTAACCATTCATTGAATTTTTTAACTTCACTAGGAAGTCCCAGTTCAGTGAAATCACCAGCATGTATTAAAACATCTCCATATGGCATTTGGATTGGATCTGTTCTGGAGTGAGTATCAGATACACATACAAAACGTGTGTATCCTGGAGGCTTGGGAGCATCATGTGGAACAGGATCAACCCTATGAGAAAAGCATTGGGGCATGGTTACAAAATATAATTGAATGCACCTTATTATTCACACATCTACTTTGGAATTACAGTGCATGGTATGTTTTTATCATGCATACACTATTACATGTTAGAACACTCAAACAAGTAAATAACATAACCCACAATCCAAAATATTTTCAGTAATTCCCGATAATAATTGTGAAAGTAACAAGTATAAAAATAGAACATAAATAAATAAGAAAATGTGTGGTAGTATTTTACTTTATAATAAATACATTCTTCTTTCTAAAAAAATGTAATTCTTGTCAAAGTGAAACAAGAAAAATATATTTCAGAGAGAAACTTTTATCTCATACACTCACACACAATTTTTCAAAAGTTCAAACAAGTCAAACAATGTGACATGTGTAGTAATACCAGCTGCAGAATCAACAGTTTATATGATCTTGACTGCCAACTTGCCTATACATTTCTTAATAATTAACTCTCCAGTTTCCGTTAACTGTACTGTATTTCCCTAAGGCCTCTTCAGATTTTCAAAGGAAACAAATCTAAAGAAGAGAAATCATAGCTTCAAGAAAGGTGTGGAATTGTGTTGGGATGTTTTAAGTTACAAAATGACAGAATTACATTAAGCAAGGTATGATGAGGCAATTCACTAATGGACATTTTTCAGTATAATCAGGGGCAAATTATATTTGAGTATTCTGCTTTTGCAATAGGCCCTTACATAAGGGGAGCAACACTTACAAATCTTCTGCAAAGAGGCATCCAGTACCTGCTTGTGCAAGCAAAAGCACCATTAGTGTGAGCTCATGCATTACTGCCTGAGCAACAGAGTACAGGAAGAGAGAACATAGTACTAAAGCTATCCTAGCATGGTCAATAACATACTAGCCAGAATTACTAGCAATCAGGGAAAGTGGCACTGAAGGCAACAGAATCTTTCTTAGGATTATCCAAGCAGGCAGAATCTAAGGATGTTCAGCCTACACTGAAGCCAGCAGCATCTGTGCTGGGGTGTGTATATGCTAGTAGTCATCTGCTGGATATTTGCTGGTATCTCCTGGAGATGCACTGCTGACCCAGTCCTCCACTGCCTCCTCCCAATGGCTGCTGGGAAATCAGTGGTCTCCACTTTTTCCTTATATTACCCCCTGCTCCACTAGCTGCTGTGGGTTGTGCAACATAAGCACACCCTTCAAGACATTATAAATGCTTTACCATAAAACCTCTAGGATTTGACTACATTTTAATGAAATATTAAACCCTGAAGTTCCACACTACAACTAAATGAGTAATGTAGCAGTAAACATAAGATGTAACAAGTGATGGATGATACTAGTTTCATAGATCTGAACATTTTAAACTAACCACTTGGGCAATAAAGAAGGATCCTATTATTTCCTACATACTTTCATGTTTCGTAATATATACGAATAAAGAATTGCTTCATTAGTCAGTACTTTTAAAAGGATAAATTATTATATATTGGTGAAAGACACAATAATAAAAAAGATTACTCCCCATCCATGGTGCTTGCTATTGCACGTATGGTGGCACAGACCACTACAGATACTGCAAAGTGCCAGAGACATGTTTAATCATTCCTAGTAAGCAGCAATCTTTTAGCTCCTTTTCAGTAAGGGAAACACTGTCCTTGATTATCTCTAATTACTACCACCTTTAACTATTATTACTGATGCTCCATCTCCTGCCTGGCCATCACTCTCCACAACTATCATATATAATTCTGAAGTGATGCTGTTACTTGACAGCTGGTTGGTATTGTTTCAACTCTTTACTGCTATTACGTCAGGTGAAACCTGCCCTTTCCCCCCTATTATACATTTTCCTTCATGCTGGTACCATTTTCCACACCTCACCAAATTCTGACCTAAATTGAACAAAATAGCCGATTTTAAATGATGTTTAATCCTCTTCTGAAAATCCCTGATGAGTACTGCCATCATACAGTGATAGTAAAATATTGTGTGCCTCCTTTGATTCAAATACGTCTTGTGTCCCCAAAAAATCTACATGTACAATAAGTTCATTTCACCACGCAGATATACTGCTATATATAAGTGAATTAAAATAAGTCCAGGTATGTTCCTAAACTCAAGTGGAAAACACTATTTTTCCAAGGTTCTTGGACTAAGGATCAGACAGCTGCAAAGATATGCATATGATTGCACCAGAAAGAATCATTTTACCAGGAGTGATCTCCCTTAAATGACCCTTCTGTCAACCAGAGAATCATGCCAGCCCAGCCCCCAAAAGTAAAAAAACTCTAGAACAGAGTAAAAAAGGTACCACTTGAAGATGAATCAGGACTGGGCTAGAGGGCATTTCCCCATGTATTGCACAATCACTGGGCAACAGACTGCATCGGCCCACTCCACAAGCAATCTAATTTGCAATCTATTTCCCCATGTGATCACACCCTGAGTTTGGAAATGGCCTTGAGCATCTTTGGTGCAGTTGATTAAAACTGAAGGAAACAAATCCTTTATTCTGTTGGGCCAAGGCAGAAAGAGAGAAGACCGTGGATCAAAGATTAAAAGTGCATACAGTCCTATAACCTCACTTCTAATCTCAAAATACTTAATAAATGTGTGCACATGGTATGTTTACTTTTGGGAAAAGCAAAACCTATACAGATTCAGAAAACCAATCTGGTTTTTAAAAAAGAAGAAAAGAGTATAAGGTACATTAATAAACACTTTAATTTAATTCCACTTTAAGTACCCTATGCTTTTCCCTTACTTTCAGTATTAAAATAAGATCTGCCAGATGGATGTCCATATTATGTCGTTGTGTGTATCTGTTCCACGCTGTCAAGTCGGAACCAACTTATAGCAATCCTAATAGGATGTTCAAGGTAAGTGAGGTATTTAAAGTGTGGCTTTACCAGTCATTAGTTGCTGCATTCTTTTGTTTGTGTGGGTCTTCTGAATCTTTAGCCAAGCAATGAGTATCATTTTGTTTTAATGTGGGTTTCATACTGAAATAAAGATTTGCATAAGAAAATGGGTAACTAAATACTCCTGCAACTGCCTGTTGATATTTTATAGGATTCTGAGACACATCCATATCATGTTACTGCCTGCATTTTTAACTATAAATACCTGTTTTAGTGAAGCTTGATTCTGTAGATTCCCATTTTTGATTGGCCTATCAAATACCACAATGACACAGCAATAACCATTTAGAAGTCTGCGTTATAACAATAACAGAACTATAATACTTACATTTGCACATGCGGAGGCTGGAAACGTCCCTGGTTAATGTTGTAGAAAGTGAATGCCTGTGTCGGGTTTGAGCTGTACTCATCAACTTCGATTATGAGTCTACTGTGCTGATGCCTTCTAGCTGCCATAATGTGTGACTGGGCAAAAGCCATGCTTGCTCCTTATGATGCTGATACAGCTTTCTCAAGGAATCATCTCCACTATCTTTCTATACTGGTGGAAAGCTTCCATGTTCTCTCTTTGCCTCACTATCCACAAGCTCTCTTCCCAAATACCTGAAAGCAACTGGGGGAAAAAATATAGTTGATATAAAGCATTTGACAGTCAATCAGCCTGAGATGCATTTTATTCAATGCCCGATTTAAATTTAGGAAAGGCAGATGAATGCTAGCAGCTAGAGTATCTCATTATAAATCTTTCCAAGTCAGCTATCTGATGAATATGTATATAAATGTTTTAGTGTGTAAGCAAGGAAGAAAACAAACTTGTCAAATATCACATGGTACAACACGCCCCAGCCGCTAGGGCTTTTAATCACAAACTTAGTGAAGAATGCATTACTGCTCAGAAACTGCAAGTCACATTTTAGTGTTTTGCAGATACATTATTTTACATCCCCAACCCTCAATGTATTTGTGAATGTTAATCTTGTTGTTCCCATTGACTGACAGACTGTGCATGGAGAGATTACAAACAAGTGTGCACTCCAAAGGAATAAGTATAAGTTTTGCTTTCTCCTATGGTTCAGTGGTATTCATAAAATCATAAACTGTCCAGACAAATATTTCAACTATCCTAGATAAAAATGTGTCACTGAATCCAGAAAACAGTTATCATAAATATGAATCCTTCTCACATGGTTTTCCTATACATTTTTGTACCCAGTTAATCCATTACTCAAATCTAGATGTTCTGCATATAACTTATGGAACTTCTCCACCAACTGATCTGAAGTCAATACTGTTTCATATTCAATTTATCTTTTCTTCCATCCCATTAAAAATATATTCCTTTCCTCCTCTCTAGTTTATCATAGTTTGTTCTGTCAGTCACAAAACTTGTGATAATGAGGAAACATCCCATACTTTTTTCACTAGTAATTTTTGACAGATATCAAAAGATTCAACAAAGAGGATCATATTACTTTAGGTATACTGCATAAGTCAAATAATCCACCCTTTTACCAAGTTCATATTCACTTATTACATATTCATCAAACAACTTGAAAAAATATCATCCCAGAATGTGGAATTGCACAGCACACCCACACAATATCTTTAAAAATATAATCAATATATAGCATGATAATGCCTTTCTCCCAGGCTTGTACAGATCAGTTTATTCCCTTTTTAAATTTTCCTCCAGATTATCAAGACAAGACCCAATTTCAAATCATACACCCAGTTCTTTTTTTTAATTTATCATCCCCTTTGTAAATATTTTATCATATAGTATTTTATCATGTAGATAGAGATTACATGTTGGGGAAGCACTACACATTCTTTCAGGCATGCTTTAATCTTTCAGAGAAACTGATATGTTGACAGCTGCATCAATTTTGGATTTAATACAGGAGCTTTTCACACTTGTTCTATCCTGAAATCTTCAGTGATCCAATAACAGTATTGCCAGAATTTGTTTCTATAAATTGATCACATCACTGGGTTTTTCGCTCTCTCTCTCTCTCTTCTTCAAGTCTCCCTTTCACTAAATAATAAATACAAAATAAATAATAATAGTTAAATTTGGCAGTATATTAAAAGCCAGTGGCCATACTCTAACTAAGAGAAATATGAACGGAACTTGAAATGCTACATTTTAAAATGACTTGTTGTGTTTACTTTTAACTTCTTGGCAGTGCAGTTGCTTTCGTATTGTTCTGTTGAAAGTAATCCATTGTATTCTGCTTTACCAATAGGCCAAATCCATAGGTTACCACTAAGCCAAAAATATGGGGAATACTTTATGAATCCCTCTAGTCATTAGTTCTGCTATTATCTCTTCAAATAGTTATAAAGAGGGGGGATCCCTTTGCCATTTGGGATTGATAAAATGGCACAATTTTTAAAAACCTAGTTAAAATATTTCTACAAATATCTTAAATACTCTTAATCAGTTACCTTTGAAAGTAACTAGGCATACTATAAAGCATTGGAAGAAACTTTAAGTCCACATTTTTAAAAGTTAGTAGATTATATTGAAATTAGAGAGGAAATTCCAGATTCACAGAAATAAGCGCATATTTCCCTAATACATAAAGTAGGGATGGGGGAAAAAAACAAATTAAGAATTATAGACCAATCTCTCTTTTACAAAATAAATAATAATAGTTAAATTTGGCAGAATATTAAAAGCCAGTGGCCATACTCTATGTAAGAGAAATATGAACGGAACTTGAAATGGGCAACTAAATTAAAGAAGGTACTTACGGAAATAATACACAAAGACTAGACAGACTTCATCCCTAAAAGGAAACTAGTGTCAAATATAAGGTCAATAATAGATATTTTGGAACATTATGAAACACATCCAGAAAAACAAATGATGCTGATCTTCCTAGATGCAGAAAAGGCCCTTGATAATGTGAAGTGAGAGTTTATGTTGCTGCAATTGAAGAAGATGGGAGCAGAAGGAATTTTTCTAAAAACAATTAAAGCAATATATACTAAACAGAAGGCCAAAATCAAAATCAATGGCCAAACAACTGAAGATATCCAAATTGAACAGGGCACAAGGCAGGGTTTTTCCTCCAGATTATCAAGACAAGACCCAATTTCAAATCATACACCCAGTTCTTTTTTTTAATTTATCATCCCCTTTGTAAATATTTTATCATATAGTATTTTATCATGTAGATAGAGATTACATATTGGGGAAGCACTACACATTCTTTCAGGCATGCTTTAATCTTTCAGAGAAACTGATATGTTGACAGCTGCATCAATTTTGGATTTAATACAGGAGCTTTTCACACTTGTTCTATCCTGAAATCTTCAGTGATCCAATAACAGTATTGCCAGAATTTGTTTCTATAAATTGATCACATCACTGGGTTTTTCGCTCTCTCTCTCTCTCTTCTTCAAGTCTCCCTTTCACTAAATAATAAATACAAAATAAATAATAATAGTTAAATTTGGCAGTATATTAAAAGCCAGTGGCCATACTCTAACTAAGAGAAATATGAACGGAACTTGAAATGCTACATTTTAAAATGACTTGTTGTGTTTACTTTTAACTTCTTGGCAGTGCAGTTGCTTTCGTATTGTTCTGTTGAAAGTAATCCATTGTATTCTGCTTTACCAATAGGCCAAATCCATAGGTTACCACTAAGCCAAAAATATGGGGAATACTTTATGAATCCCTCTAGTCATTAGTTCTGCTATTATCTCTTCAAATAGTTATAAAGAGGGGGGATCCCTTTGCCATTTGGGATTGATAAAATGGCACAATTTTTAAAAACCTAGTTAAAATATTTCTACAAATATCTTAAATACTCTTAATCAGTTACCTTTGAAAGTAACTAGGCATACTATAAAGCATTGGAAGAAACTTTAAGTCCACATTTTTAAAAGTTAGTAGATTATATTGAAATTAGAGAGGAAATTCCAGATTCACAGAAATGCTGAAAACTCACTGTCCAGCGAAGATCCTCCATAGGGACAGCCATTTTTGGTGCCTGTATAGTGAGGAATCCGTCCAAAAACACAGCAGGGAGCCATTTTAAGCAGCCAGTGGCCATTTTGAAACCCAACGATCAGCTGTTTTTCATCGTCGTAAAGCGAAAATCGGTTCCCGAAGCAGGGAACTGATCATCATTAAATGAAAACAACCCCATTTAAAACATCATTTTGCGATCGCAAAAACCTAATCATCAAGCGATTTCGTCATAGAGTGGGGCAATTGTTAAGCGAGGCACCACTGTATATTATATTAATTGTATTTTAATTGTTTTATTTTTTTACTGTATTTAAATTGTTGTAAGCCACCCAGAGACCTCTGGGTAATATGGGCAGCATATAAGTTAAATAAATAAAATATATTACAATAAATAAATATATTACAAGGCATGTGCTATGGTCTGGATAAAAGAATGGATAACATTAGAAAATCAAAGATTGTTGAAATTGGAAGGCCATGATTTAAAAATGGGTTCAGATGCATATGTGTGCTACAGAAAATTCAAAGAACAGACACATTTCTCAGAACATATTGTGAGGAAAGCATTGTGTCTAGTATGACAAAAATTTCAAGTGCAAACTTACAACAAAATTCCAATATGAGTAGCACCAATAGAGGCATTTACATTGAAAGTATTGAATCAGAAGGGAGTTTTACTCATGTATAAAGATGTGTTAACTAAAGATCAAAATATGAAAGACAAACAAGATCTAGAGAAACTGGGTCTAGCTACAAATTGGTGATCAATGCTGAAACTAGAATCAAGATATAAAAAGGACAAAAACATGGGCTTTTTGAGGGGAAAGTTCTGGTGGGTGAACTATTGATTCACACTAAAGAGAAAATAATCAAAAAAGTGTATACATATCTATTAAAATATGATCTAGAGCAGGCTTGTCCAACCCGCGGCCCGAGGGCCGCATGTGGCCCAGGTCAGCTCATAATGCGGCCCAGTGCAATTTTTTATTTTTAAAGAAATTCCAAAGTTTCAAGTTACACTGCTGGTGCTTGCGGCCGGAATGTGGCCAGGGCATGTCACAACAGTAGAGGGGGAGAGAGGGAAGGAAGGAAGGAGTGGGAGGGGAGGGGACAGGGGGGCTGCGTGACTGCATTGCACCATCCCCGGCAATAGGCAGACCCCCTCCCGGCCCCATAAAGCCACCAGAGTCGAAGCTGGCAGCCTCTGCTCTCTAAGATCATAGCTGCTGGTAAGCGTGCTTGGAGTGGGGCTGCGGAGGGCGGCTAGGGCTGCCCCCCCATGTGGCCCAAACCAAATGTATGTGTGGCCCAAACCAAATTTTCATCTTCTAATGTGGCCCAGGGAAAGTGAAAGGTTGGACACCCCTGATCTAGAGGATGAGGTGATGGTAAAATGGCCACAAAGCTTTGGATATACTGTAATATTGATATTAATGAATGAACAAAAATGTGGAAAGATAACTATAAAATGATTAAATCAGTTAATATGAGAGAAAACATCCTTAAAATGTTTCATAGATGGCATTTTACTCTGGTAGGATTGGCAAAAATGTCAGAAGGGATCAGTAATGTTTGTTGGAAATGTAAAAAAATAAAAATAAAATCCAGGGACTTATGTATGGTGTATG